CTGATCATTTATGTATACATTTGTCTATATCTATCTCGATTCGTTTTGGCTGTTACAAACAACCGTTATGTGAACAAAATTAATATACCCTTGTGCACAAGTGCGCTCGGGTATAATAAAAAAGCGTGGGTGGATGATTATGGTATAGAACAATTCTACGGCGTTAAAGCACTAAAATTTCAAATTACTTTTTTTGACCATCCTAATGTGCATATATAGGTATATACATACATATGTCAAATGTGTTTACGGAAACGTTGATGCTCGGTATGCAAAAGACCTCAGCTCAACTCCCAACTTCTCGCACAGCGACACATAAGAAATTTGTCCGAAATGAAAACAAATGTGCGGTCTCTGCGGATATTTTCTCGTTTGCCAGAGATGTCGAAATGAGATGAGGGCAGCAACGACAACACCAAGAGGGCCCTAACCAGCGATGCCAACTTTGTTGCTTCGGCCATCTATCAGCAAGAACAAACAAAAACAATGAGATGCTGCAACGCAAACAGCCGGTCAACAGTAAAAATGAAAACAACTGATAGAAACCATGGTGGCCGGTAAATTGTTGTTTTAGTTGTGCACTTCGAGTTAAGCCCCCAGCATTTCATTTGCATACGAATTCCACATGGTTGACGCCTAGCTGGCTGTTTTGGGGGCAGGACTATTATGGCATCGTTCGCTATTGAGCACATGTAGCGCCTACATAAATTCTACATACATTCATATGAATTTATGGCCATATATCGATTTTTGTGAAACTGCATGCGAAGAGTGGACAGCAACAACAAATATTGAAATATCGGACGCTGAAGTGTTTTGCATGTGCAGATGATGGGGCTATACACTATATCTATATATCGTCGTTTAAAGTACAAAACCGCGTATCAAGAAAATGCAAAACCCCGTATGTGAGGTTGCCAAAATTTTATAGGACAAAGTAAAACTTGTCTTATTTAAAACGGTTATCTCTTGTATCCATAATTTTTAGTATGAATCGATAAGAGCTTGATGCCAGGAGCTTCCGTTGAGAAAATATCTTTTTTGGCACAAATGTCAGTTACGAGGTTTTGCACTATTTACTCTAGCAAATGAGTTAAATTATAGTTGAATTCGCAGTTCAAACGCATGGCGAGCTTTACACTGAGAAAGTTCGCAATGCGCTCAAAGATGCTGGTAAAGTGCATATTGGTGCAGCTGAGGGCCGAGTTACTGTGGGGACAAAAGAGCCTTGGTGCATTTTAAAGGAAAAAATCGAATGCCCAGGTCGAAAAGCCATGTTAGTCGGCTTTGGTGGGCAGTCTGCTGTGGCGATTATAAATGCAACTGGCAGCGATGTAGATCGCACCCCAATACAGGGCATATTACGTTTTAGTGCGCTGACCAAGGATCATCCCGGCGTAGTGGTAGACGGTGTTGTGGATGGCCTAACGCCGGGCTTACATGGACTGCATGTACATACACGAGGCAGGGGATATATCCAGCGGTTGCGAATCGCTCGGCGAGCCCTATAATCCACGCGGTTTACCTCATGGTGGACCAGATGATACACCTGATGCGCGACATGCTGTAGATTTGGGTAATATACGCGCCGATGATAGAGGCCGAGCAACATTTCGTTTTGTAGAGCCAGTATTGGCAGTGTGTGTGGGATATCATAGGGCATTCGGTGGCTATAACAGCTAACGCAGACGATTTGGGTAGAGGTGGTAATTCGAAGAGTCGTATAGATGGTAACCCAGATGCACGCATTGCCTGTGGTATAATTGCACGTTCAGCGGGAATTTTGGAGAATCTAAAACAAAAAAAAAATGCGCATGTGACGGCGTAACACTATGGGATGAACGAAATAAGCCGATAGCTGGTGGTGATCGAGCGCAGAAGTTGTAATGTGGCTACTGTTACCGTATTAATCTTAATTTCTAGCATAAGAATTACGCCAGGCGTTTGAATTTGTAATTATACTAATAAACTGCGGCGATTTGTAGGTCATAAAGAGTAAATAAAAGAAAATTTCTGCCCGAAATCATGTCAGATGATTTTCATATGTACCTCATGTTATTTTGTTTTCAGGCACCTACTCTAGCTCATGCTAACTGATGAATTATGAACCGTTAGAAGCAGAAAAATTTTTTTTGTTGGTTCTTTGCTATACTTGACAGGTATTGTAATAGACTGGACGATGTTGGACGAGTCAAATGAAGTACGCGAATCATTTCTTCTCCACCTTTGGTTTGTCTTTTCTCCGTTCATAGATAGACTAACCGCAATTTTGGACCATATGCATGTAGAATTCGACATCCCCTAGAACAAAATCATGACTAAACAGGAACTATACATTTTACTATCTTTCAATAGTAGTTGTCTCCAGGGAGATGTAATATCCAAACGAGATGTGCCTTGGTGGAGTAAGAAGCTTGAGCAAATGAGATGCAAGGCCAGAAGACTATTAAATAGGGCAAAGACTTCTGGTGATAGGAATCCGTATAATTTTGCGCTTATCTCCTATACAAAGGACTTGATGAAATCCAAACGAGCTAGCTGGCGAAACCATTGTGGGCAATAAAGAGCCTATCAGCGGTAGTATGCCTACAAAAAGCCCGAACAATGAATTACAGGATCACAGCTGGAACTCAAGAGAGTCTAGATAGGGGCTAAACTCAGCATGCGGGTGAGACCAGCAAACTTTTACTGGACAATCACTGCAACATCGACCTCCGGAAGAGAACAAAGCTCACCACTGTAGAACGGGTGCAATGGAGCTCTATCAATATTTAGCCCATACAAATCGCCTGAACTGGAGGAAATTTATCCATGAGTCCTTAAGTATGGATTTAGATACATATCTCCGGTACTATCTCAAGCCTATAGAGTCTAGCTCTTACTGGGTTCAATTCTCACCAGATGGTATGGGGTTTGGGTCATATTTTTACCAAAAGTGGGTAAGTCGGAACAATAACCTTCATTTTATTGACCAATTAGCCTCAGTTCCTCTCTCCTTAAAGGTATGAAGAAAATACTGGATCAGTATGAGTGACATTTTCCAGGTTAAACTTTGAATTTCTGTCATTGGCAAACTTTCTAGAAAAACGGTATACAGATGCGTAATCTACGGCCCAAATTAAGTTTACGTGTCTCTGCATTTTTTGTGTCATTTTAGCGTCCCTATAGCATTATGGGAATGGTTTATTCACATGGAATTTGCGATAAAGCTGAATAAAGCCAAATAAATTCTGCAGAACTTAGTTTATTTCAGACCAGTTACTGCCTAAATGACCACACTCTCATGATGAGAGTATACAAAAATAACAGAGAGCAAGATTATTCCATGGGTTTACCACTACTTATTACACTGGTTTACAGCCAAAATGTTCTATGGATACCAGTATCTAATTTCTATGTAAAATTGCTTCGTGATTCCGAAATTCGAGATAATATTTTTTCTATGAATAAATTGTCGAGATATTTCCAACCGAACCCAATGAATAATCGTAATACAGGATACGGCAAATGAAATCTAATAAAATCCTCTTTAAACCGCATGATTCAATAATGAATGGTTTTGTAAGAAAAATATCCCTCACTCTAATTTTACGACACTGCCACCCTACTCCTAAAACGAAAAACGGTGATATTTATTTTCCACATTTCTTTGTAAATTTTAGGAAAATTTTAAAATTTTTAATAGTAAAAATTTTATCCTTTAAGTCCAGTATGCAGCTTTCAAGAAAAGCGAAACGTCCATATAGAGTGACGTACAAGACCTGATAGATTCTGATAAATTAATCAATAATTTCCGACACCACTTGCTTTCGATGCAAACACTCTACCCACACAGGTGTACGTGGCGTATGAGTAACACCCTTTTCTGCTCATATTTCATATCTTTGCGCACTTTAATTTGACCAATAACTATTTTCTTATTTATCCAAAGATTTTCTTCATTAGTAATATCGATTTTTTTCTAAAGGAACATGTTTTAACACAAGTGCAAAATATTTATACAGAAAATTTTATTTTTTTACTTTTTTCCCTGTTAAAATTTGAATTTTTTGCATTTTTCCATAAAAAAAAAAAAACAAAAAATGTGGAATGATTAATTAATATCTCAGAAACTATCTAGGCCATGGAAAAATGATATATATATGCAGTTTATGGAGAATTTAATTTTCTTTCACATGCCGTATCTCGTATCATGACTATCTAATCGGTTCGTAACATATACGTGATTAAGTGGAATCACTCTTTTTTTAAGCTTAATAACGGTAAATTGCAAATATCTCGAAAACGTTTCCATAAAAATAAACATTAATTCGATTTTCGGCATCAGCGAGCGGATCTACATTAATAGAAATTGGACAGTGGCGTCTGGAGAACAAAAACCAAAATGAAATTTGTCATCCAGTGTTATTTATATGTTTGTGTACTTATGTACTTACATACTTCTACACATAAGTATATAAAATTTCAAGTAATTCTAAAAAATATTCTCAGAAATTTCTGCTGGTTTCTCAACGTTCTTGTAGTGCAAATATTTACTTCTACACATGCAATTTTATGTACGTTTAGACATATACGCCATACATACGACCCCACATACATTTATTTTTACAACTATCCGTATATACACACATACGTATATGTAGTTGCAATTTTGTTCGTTGTATCGCTTCTGATGACAGTAATAATTCAGTTGTCTGTTGAGTGTAAGCAAACTGACGTTGACGCAAGCAACGGCACTTCGATTACAAAAGGGTGCTGTACTTCTGTTTCAGAAAGTTGCGTAAAGTCGTTCACTGTTGTTGTTGCCCATCAAGTGCCGTGCTCTTAAATCTACCACCCACTCAATCATACATACTCGCACAACTACTGCAGCGATTTTGACATTCGCATAGCGCTTTCAAATTCGTCGGTTGCATTTGTTGTGATATAGTTACATATACATATGTATGCAGAAATGAACACGCATAAACAAATATACACCAGGGTTGTTGCGAATATTCGCACTCGCATTCGCAACCGTGCAGCTTCCGAATTAATTTGAACATCCGCATTCGCAATAATCAATGCGGGCCGGTTTTTCAGTGCCAGTTTAAATTCAACAGCTGGCTGGCATTTGATTGGCTGATCTTAGTTTAAACCAGCCAGATCGAGCGTTTAAGCTTAGTTTAAACCACGGCCGTGCACTGAAAAACTGGCCCTAAGTTCCATGTTCCGTTTAATTAGTCTTTCAGCTCGAAAACAACAACTCACACCGTCGCTGATTTACAAAAAGCCGAAAAAAAACTGACATCGAAAAACGCTGATGACCTAACAGGTTCTCCAAATTCTGAAACAACCAAAACAATTGGTTCTCCAAATTGCAAAACAACGATGTTTAAACAACGTTCTTACCATGATGCTAGATTGTGAAGATGAAAGTCAGGAGGAAAAGTAACCCGGAGCAATTTTCAAAAAGCAATTTTTGTACCGCAAGAAAAAAAAAGGAAAAAAAACTGAAAGTCCTCTCAACTGGTGCAGCGTCAATCGAAAAGAATTTACAATTTCGTCAAGTTTCCAGTTTTTCAAGTTTGTCGCCTGGAACGAGTAGTTATTTAGTGGCGTAGATTTGATTTACGACCCTTGAAGAAAGAGCCTGTAACCCGAAAAGGCAGCAAAATTACTCTTTATTAAATACAATGTTCCAATTTTTAAATTTGAGTACTAAATAAAAAAAAAAAAAACATTGTATATGTCAATCTTATTGTGGCTTATTAACATTTTTATTTTAATATTTTTATTGAGCTTTGTACCACGATTTTGTTTATTAGGGAAAAATTGAAAACGCAACAAAATCTAAGCGGTAGAAGTTATAGCAGCTATTTCGGAGATCACCACATCTCCTCATCTGACTTCTTTTTCAGGGTTCGATCCCTGCTGAAGTCTGGAAAAAATAAGTCTGATGAGGAAATGCGGCGATCCTCGAAGTAGCCGCTGTAACTTCTAACACTTAGACTTTGTTGCTTTTTAAATTTTTCCCTAATAAACAAAATCGGGGTACAAAGCTCAATAAAAATATAAAAATAAAAATAAAAACATTACTAAAAATCACTAACTTTTCTATATTTTATTTACCTAAATCTTCTAATGTACTCATCTAAATTATTTCTTTAAAATACTTGACATCCGCAGCTGCGGATGTTAGCTTTTAAACATCCGCTTTCGCAACCGCGGATGTCTAAAATTCTACATTCGCAACATCCCTAGTATGTACATATCCAAATGTATGTAAATTATCCCCTGAATATTGGTGCTCTTATTGATGGCATGCCGTCGTTGTACATAGTTGCATTCAATTGTATCTGTTTCTGCTACCATGGCTGCAAATGTCATTATTTGAGCATCGTTGGTTGTGCATTCGTATGATTCTTTTTGAGGTAGCAACGGTGTTGTCAAAACAATTTATCTCTTTTTTCTTGCTTTTCCATTTTTAAGCTAGTATAAATTATAAAATGACGAATGCTGAAAATGTCACTGATTCTATTCGACTGTAGGGTTGACCTGCATGGTTTCTAGTTCGACGGCTATTATTCTTATCTGCTTGGTAAACGAGCATGAATTCGGTGTTGGATTATAGTGGGGGAGATAGTGCTATCGTTCACCCTAGTCAGGAATCCATGATAGGTTCATAGTGAATTTTAAATACTAGAAACCCATCCTATGTTTCCTAATTTAGTTTAGTAAGAAACGCCTTTTTCGTATTCATTTCGCACTTCCTTAAGTTATATCTACTGACCAAACCCATTAACCACTCATTTTGAAGGCATGGTTAGCTGGAAAATTGTGTTCAGTCGTTGATAATTTTAAAATAAGTTGTAGTTTTCAGATAACGTGACCTGGATACTTTGCAT